TTTTTTTTTTTTTTTTGTTTAAATCCAAATGTTTAAACAAAAAATTTCTGATATTTCTCATTTCCGTTTTAATATCCAATTGTTGACTACGTGGAACAGATGAGTTACAGTTATAGTTTAATTGGTTAGATATGTTAGGCGGAACAAAAAATTCACAGATTTCAATTGTGAAAAGTGGAAAAAGAAAAAATAGAAAAGGCAGAAACTGAAAAAAAATTATAAAAGAAAAGAAGAAAGAAAAAGTTTCTTTTATTTTTTTCTGTGAAAACAATAGAGCATAGTTGGAGATTAAGGTGGAATAAAAAAGACGATGTGAATGACAACGACAACAACAACAACGACAACGACGTCGATGACAACGGCAACAAACAATAGCGGTAACGATAGTGGAATTAGCAGATGATGAGCAATAGTAACCAAGGAACGACCTTGGCAATAAGGAATTATTATCGAGGTAAACTTACAAATATCAGATCAGCTGCAATATGCGGTGCAAAAAACAATCCGATCCCGATTAGGAGGCACAACGACGCATCGGCGCCCACAATCGCTGTACGCATCGCTAACAATGGCATTCTGCGGAACCGTCGATCGTCGCTCCGCCCGTTCTCCAGTTTATCTTCAAACATATCGCACAAACAGTATATAAAAATACGTATGTATACGTGTCTCGGTATATGTATCTGTACAGTATTTACATCACAAAACATAGTTGCTTTACACTCAGATTCCCAATCAACCACTTTCTGTTGTTATTTGTCAATTAGTCAATGATTTCTTAACGGAACTGAATCGTCATTATCAGCTATACCCGCAGTAACACATACATACACTGATCAACAATAACAACAAAAGTTGGCTCATTTGCTATGGAAGTGAAGAATACAGAAAACATCAGCTGTACATCGATGTATCCACATAGTCTATGTAAATCTATTGGTTGATAATCGGCAATCAATAACATTACTTGAAACTTTAAACCCCTTCAAAATTCTAAATGTTTTTGTTAATGCCCCAAAGTACGATAAAATTTAGAGAATCCAACCCCGTTACGCTGAAGAGGAAAAAACCTACAACCAAAACAGATAATAAAAAAAGATTGGGCAAGACAAAAAAAAACGTTTTATCTTGTACACAACAAAAAATTAAGAGAAAAAAAAAAAAGTAAAAAACGAAAACGAAAGAGGCAATATAAAATTTCACTCCATAGGTGGTTGTTAAAAAAATTTTAAAATGCTGCAAAAACAATGTTTAAGTTTAATTAGTTTGCACTTAAATAATACGGTAAAGCAACAGTACCAACTTATCAGTCTTCAAAGTAAGTAAAAAAAAAAAAAAGAAGAAATAAATCGCGAATTGCAAATTTGGATCAACTGAACGAACAGATTTTCAAATGAACATGATTGTCCATTCTTTTTTAACTCCCCTCTTCCCCCATCGTTTTCATATAAATTATTTTTTTTTTACACTCTTATCACATGAGAAACCAAAATGCAATTTTTGGCAACTCCAACAATAAAGAATCCTGTAAGAAGTGACTGTAAAATATCCTGGAACAATCTCAGTTGCAAAAAATGTTTAGCAAAAAGTTTGTTCTCAAAAAAAAGAAAAGCAACAACAACGGTAACAGCAAAAACGACAACAAAACTGTCTTTCTTTCTTTATTTATTTTTTTCAACCTTTTATGATCGTTTTTTAATTAAATTTTTTTTTTTTTCTGTTGTTAGGAAACAGCCACAATAAATGTTGTCGACAAAAAATGTAAGACGACTGCTCAGAATGGAACGAATGAAAGAAAAAAAAAAAAAATTAAGGCTAAAACATTTGAAGATGGAACACTGGAGATGAACAAAACTGTTTTTGAGCAAAACAACAAAACATTGTTGATCACAGCACTGTATAATACATAACACGTATAATATAATATTAGTACAAATATAAATATGTCTATATACATATTTAAATTTATTGAAATATATCGTAGAATGTATGCATGTTTACCCTAGTGGCCTTTTGTTGTTATCTTATCGATAAGCTATATCGAATTCATGAATCTGCAGTGTTTTAAACAGATCTCTTGAAGCCCACATTTCTACCCTTCTGAATCAGTTTTCAACCACGAGCATACCCTAACAAAACAACGATGATGTTTGGGCAAGTGAAAGAAAAAAAAAAAAAATCTTTTCCTTCTGCTCCTCCAAGAACTTTTTTCGTCATCAACAAACGGCATCACCATTGTTGTCGGTGTCGCCTTCGTTGTCATCAACAACATCGTCATTATCATCGTCACATTTGCATCATCCGCAGCAGATCATCTGTGTGCATTCATCATGGTCATCATCCTCAACAATCGACAAATACGTGCAACAGAAGAAAGAGAGTAAAAAAAAAAAAAAAATGGAATAATTCAAAGAAGTTTTTATGCAAATGAAAACAAACAATTATTAGATGTTGGCCACATCAACAGCTAAAAATCCAAATCTTTAATTTTAACTTTTATTTACAAATTTTTTTTTGCTGAAAGGGGGGATAAGAA